AAAAAAGTAGAGAGAGAGAGTGGGGCACATTATTTTGGGGAACAAGAACCATGATTGAGATTATGGGGGGCTTCCCTTCCTGACATTTTATTAGTCATGATTGAGCTTACACACTAACCCCCCCACCCATTTCTTTTTCTCCCTCTATAAAACCCCCCACACCCTCCCCACCACTCTTCTCCAGAACATCCCCCTTCCCCTCCCTCCTCTTCTCCCTCCCTCCCTCCCTCCCTCTACCTACAAGCTCTCTCTCAACTCTTTTGTTCTGGAACTGAACCAGGACTCAGAGTGAAATTCCCACAAAAGGAAGGAGGTAAGCATGATGGTTGAAAGAGAAGATTTGGGCCTGAGTCTCAGCTTGAATTTTCCTCAGACCCATAACAATCACAGCAACACCACCACCACCACCAGCAGCAGCAGCTTTCGGCTCAATCTGATGCCTTCTCTGCTCCCAACTTCTGCTTCTTCTACTTCTGGCTTTCTTCCCCAAAAGCCCCTCTGGAATGACTCCTTGCCTTCTTCAGGTTTGTGCTTTTTTGTCTTCCTGTCTTGCATGTGGGTTTCTAGTTTCAGATCTGGCTTTCCCACCCCTTTTCAACCATTTTCTCACCTCTTTTTCCCGAGAAACAAACGCCCTGGAAATTCCCCTTTTCTTATTTCTTTCCTCCTTTTTTTGTTTTTACTTTTGGTTGCCCCTCTATTAATTTTTGACATTTTTGCAAAAAAAAAAACAGAGCTTTTTTGCTTTCTCAATGTCTGTCTTTCAGATCTGTAACTCTACAACAAACTTTTCACCAATTTCAAGCCAAACCCACTAACCTTTTTTCCTTTTACAAATTGGTTGGATTTTTGTTTTCTAATTTCATCGCGATCCGATATGCAGATCTAAACTCCAACTCCGAGACTTACCGGGCCGGACCCCGATCGTTCCTTCGGGGCATCGACGTGAACCGGCTTCCTTCGACGGTCGACTGCGAAGACGAAGCGGGCGTTTCCTCCCCCAACAGCACCGTGTCGAGCGTGAGCGGCAAGCGGAGCGAGAGAGACGCCAACGGCGAGGATCTCGACCTCGAGAGGGACGGCTCTCGAGGCATCAGCGACGAAGAGGATGGCGAGGCGTGCAGGAAGAAGCTCAGGCTCTCCAAGGATCAGTCCGCCATTCTCGAGGAGAGCTTCAAGGAGCACAACACTCTCAACCCTGTAAGTGTTACTTGTCTTCCTAGGCAATCCCTGCGACTAGTTCTGTTTGGATGCCGAGAAAATAGACAAATTTCCGTTTGGTTGCTGAGAAAGTCCACTGACACGTACGGTTTCATTTGTTTTGGGTGCAGAAGCAAAAATTGGCGTTGGCCAAACAGCTTGGGCTTCGGCCTAGACAAGTGGAAGTCTGGTTTCAGAACAGAAGAGCAAGGTGGGTATTTTCGGGAAACCAAAAAACATATACCCAATTTGCAGTCACACCCCAGCGGTGCAGGCTTATTTACAGATTTGTTCTTGTGTGATTTGCAGAACAAAGTTGAAGCAAACAGAGGTGGACTGTGAGTTCTTGAAGAGATGCTGTGAGAATCTGACAGAGGAGAACAGGCGGTTGCAAAAGGAGGTTCAGGAGCTGAGAGCACTGAAACTTTCCCCGCAGTTCTACATGCAGATGACCCCACCCACAACACTCACCATGTGCCCTTCGTGTGAGCGTGTCGGGGTCCCACCCAACTCATCATCATCCGCTGCTGATCCCCGGCCCCATCTGCAGCCACGGCCTGGGCCCATCAACCCTTGGGCCTCCGCCACCACCATCCCCCACCGGCCGTCGCCGTTCGACGCCTTTCACGCCCGGTCGTAGTTTTAAACGATGGAGGGCATTTTGGAGAAAATATGCAAAAACCTTTTTAGAATCTCCTTATATTTTAGAATGCGTACGGAGGATGAGCAAAAAAGAAGCGGTTGTAAATTTTTCCAAAACCTTATTATGTTGGTCACTCTTTGAGATATGGTGGTTGGGAATATGTGATTTGGTGGGCCTGCATGTTTTATAGTATCTGGCCCATCACTTTCATGATCTTCTTGCTTTTGTAGATTAGGGTTTGGTGGTGGCACCAATATTTCTTCCCTAATTCACTTGTTAGACCCAACAATTTGTTGGTGGGGAAAGGGAAGGAGGACTACGAATGTAAAGTGTAATGCCTAATTAAAATTTTCATTTTAACATCTCTTTACATTGGATTGGAGGATCGTGCAATTGAGCAATATTCTAATGTAATCAAAAAGTGACGAGGAGGTGCCCGACGTCATATCACCCTTATAAGTCTTTGAGTTCACTTACGAGATATGTTAGTTGGACCAATTTTTTAGACCGTTTAATCAAGTTATCAATCACGTCAGATGGTTTAAATAGATGGTCGTGCTAGCTAGAGCATTACCCTTTTACCCATAGACTTGTCATTAGAACAACCAATTTCCCTTTAATTAATTATGATTAATAAACCCTTCATTGTCTACCTTTTGTTCAATATTTAATAATCTAAGTTACTAGGACGTGATTCCAACTTTTGAGTGCGGAGGAGAATGAACACACAACTCTAATTAATATGACTATACTCAAATCACTTAAAATTAGGAGATATGTATCTATACTATAAAGAGAACTCTCATTGTCAACTTTTTTTTTTACCTTTTTTCCTATTTTGCCCTCACTTTTGATACACACTATTCACAAAAGGAGGTCAAAATAGTAATTTTGTACATTTTGGCAAAATGACAATCATATCCCTATTTTCCTATTTTACCCTCCTTTTTTTTTTTTAGAAAATGACAATTATATACTTATTTTTTCAATTTTACCTTCATTTTTGATACACAATATTTACATAAGGAGAACAAAACAGTAATTATGTAATATTAAAAAAAACACACTTATTAAGAGAAATTATTCACACACACAAAATGTGTGCTCTCTGCTAGTATTTAATTAAGATTACATAAGAACCCCTCCTTGTCTCCCCCTCAGTTGTTTAATATTTAAAGATCCTTAATTTATGGGGAACGAATGCCTGATTCTAAGTGGGGATTATGATCTTGATTAGGATTTAAGGGGATTTGGTTTTGAATGGTGACCGGTGGTGGGTGTGAATATGTAGAAAATTCTGAGGGGATTTCGCAGTTGAATATTAAGATTTGTGATGGACCCAGAGAAATGTAAGGTTTAGTCACGGAGACCGGTTCCTAATTCGTGGGGTTTTTCAAGTGTTTTGACAACAAAAAAATGTGTTCCTCAATTGTGGCTAATCTTTTCTTTTTTAAAGTCAGGGCATATATATTATAATCAATGACTTTGATGATTGCTAATCACAAAGGAAGCTGGAGTGGTTCATACTTCATACATAGTTTGTTCACTCGTCCACTCATTTCGAATGTTTATACGTTTTTAGTATATTTTTTCTCTAAAAAAAAAAAACGATGATGGTTTTATTATAATAATAAAATAAAAAAAGCTGTTACAAATATCAAAGAGGACATTCTAGATAACATCCAACAAATTCTTAATCTTAAAAAGACTTGAAAAAACATAAAAGGTTAATTTAGCCAAACTAGTTGTTACCGTACTAATGCATTTAAGAGTAAAACGTGTACGATAATAAGTAGAAGAACGCATCCAAGTTTGAATCATTCACACTCAAACTCAAAGGACTGATATGACACTCCTAGTCAGAACGCATCCAAGTTTGTGAAGGTAGACAATTTTGTTGAGAACTCTTGATGCAAAACTCAATTTCTGCTTAAAGATGAAGAGTTTTGAATTTTAAAGCCCGATATTATTTTCGTCCAGAATAGCCCAATATCCTAAGTTTCCTCTTGCAAAGCCCTACTTTCTTCCTTGCTTGAGTTTTCTCCGATGCACATTTAAGTTACAAAGCAGAACAAAAATGGTTAGATCCCGTTAAATTAAACAATCTATTGAATTTTGTTATGTTGTTAACGTAAATGATGTGCATTGGAAAAATCCTTGCATAAAGCATTAACCCAAATTGATTCCCATGGATAGTCAAAGTGGTGTCACCAGTCCCTTAAATATGTACTTGTATCAGACAAATAAAAACCGTTAGATCTCGTTAGCTTTGTCACATAATTTTTAAGAGAAAAACAAGAACGGAAAAAATATGTACTTGTATTATGTATTCTAAACTATATTTTAGTTTGTATACAACAATATGCTAAAAGAGTGCAAAGAATAAATTGGTATTGAACTTGTTACAAATTAAGTATGTTATATGTTGTGTTTAAGATATTGGAGACAACTAAAAGGATGGTCTTGGTGGTAAATGTGGAATTTTATGCTTGTGTTTTGATTTCAAATATGCTGTGCTTAAGACATTTATTATGATTAAGGCTTAGGAAAACTGCAATGCAGCGTCTGGATCTGTCGAACTATAGAATGGAAACTGCGATGCATAACTTGAAGCTATTGACTTGTTCCAAAATAACAAAAATTTGAGAAAAGGGCTATGTAAGTAATCCGATTTGGTTGCACCAATGTTCATTGACCTCATGTTAATTAGAATAAATATGATTGATGTATTGTCAATATTGTAAGTTTTGATTCATCTAAAATCAAACATTCCCATGTCGCACTTGATGGTAATTGTATAACGAGGTTCAATATGATTGATATATTGTCAATATTACAAGTTTTGATTAAATTTTTTTTCTTCTCGCCTCTAGTTTCTTGGCTAGTTTCTTCTCAACCAAGAACCTAAGTTCAATAAGCACATCTACATAAAATTTCTTGAACAAAACTTTGCTTTTGTAGCTTTTGTGAGTGTAAAGTTTAACAAGATGAATACTTGTCCGCTGCATGCAATTGGTGTACTGTCCATACAAAAACATGTAAAATCTTTGTATACCAATGATCATAATATTGGAACAGAAGCTACAATACCAACTCAATTACAACATAAACCCCAAGGAAGGGAAACTTAAAAACACCAACCTTAATTCATTCGGCATTACCTTGACAAGTTTCTACTAATTTGAGCACTCGATCGCTTGATCGAATCTATTCTCTGAAGCCTAATCTGCTCCCTGAATTTCGCTATGAATTCATCAGCCTTCTTATCCACATCAGGCCCTTCATCACTCACACTGCCTGAAACAGACACATAACTGTTTGGAGTTGGCTTTGGTGTCTCCCCAATGTCTTTTCGGATCAAACTTTCTTCGAAGCTCTCATCTTCACTTTCGGTTTCTTCATCCGATTCCATCACTACCTTGTCGTGAAAATCTTCTTTCTCTTCCTCCGAAAATTCATCGAAAGAAGCTGAGTTTGGCTTTCTGTGGATGCTTTCATGTCCCATTTTCTCAGCCCTGAAAGAAGTTTCATCATACCCTACTCTCTTTCGTGCCGCTTTCTCCACCAAGCTTGTTTCAACTTCCTTAGAGCTTTTCTCCATTACCTTCCAAGGCCCTGCCACGCTCTCACCAGCTCTGGTTGTTCTGACTGGCCCCCCCATTGATGAACCATCAACGTAGCTTCTTCGCTTGGTTTCGGTCCCTGAATTCACTCTGCCCATCACAAATTCTCCGTTGCTCCTGTTCACGTTGTTTGTTTCACTACTGAAACTTCTCCTCATATCCTTCTCATACGAAACCCCATCTCTAATCGGCCTCATTGATGATGACTTGTAAAACATTGGTGGGGGCGGTGGAGGTGGGGGAGGAGAAGACTTGTACAGGCTCTTCTTCCTCCCCAAATCCTCTGCATTCTTCGTTTGAGATTCCGATGATGACAATGACGTTAAAGGAGAAGACTTCTTTGGAGATGAAATTGATGGCGAAGGAGAGAGTTTTGGGGACGAAGAAATGGAATTCGATCGAGAAGAACGAGAACCTTGAGACCTCGAACCCCACGCCTCTTGGCGGCTAAACTCAGATTCCTCCATAGGAGTACTATTGTCAACTTCTTCCTTCACATCCAACCTTCCTGATCTTGATCTCCATGGAATTGGAGAAGGAAGCACAACACTTTCCTTCAATTTCTCCTCCAATTCTAGATAATCCAACCCTCCAAATTCACCACCTCTAGCCTTATTCGATTTGCTTGAAAACCTTCTTGAACCTGACCTTGAATTAGACCTGCTTAATGAGCCAGAATCCCCACTAGACTCTTTAACAGACTCTATGCTATCCGGGTTTTCGGGAACACGTTGTTTCAAGCTCCTAACCGGCAAAAGCAATGGTTTTTCAACGATTGGTGAAGCGGTACCTCTCTGTTCATCAACAGCAGAGTGCTCCTGAGCCACAATCACCGCCGGCTCGTTACGATAATACTGACTGCTCCATGTTTGGACCTTGTTCCCATCAGAACCAGGTGCGGGTTCAGTCTCATCATCAAAAACTGAGGACACCTGAAGAAATCTAGAGACATATGAATGAGCATTATCAAATTTTGTGTGATTGTTGTTGCTGTTGTCCTCGTCTGTTTTCTCATTTCGTTTGCTAAAAAGGCCATAAGAGACTGCTATGCCAACAAGGAGAAGGTGCAGAAGCTCCCAGCTTCTGGTGACTACACTTTGGTTGAAGAACTCAGGAGCTTGTGATGGAAAAAGTGGGAGAATAACAAAGAAAACTACAACTAGAGCAATTTTGTAAAGAAAATGATTGTAAAACGGCCTTTCATGGTTTTGTTGTTCTTGGACCAACTTTTGGTGTTTGGTGTAATTAGACTCTGGTTCACTCTCTGCCATTGAAGAACACATGGAGAGAGAGAGAGAGAGAGAGAGAGTGAAAGAGAGAATGAAACCCTAGCAATGTTGTATTGGGGTTTACAGAAGAAGATGGAAGGAAGGAAGGAAGGAAGGAAGAAGAAGAAGAAGAAGAAGAAGAAGAAGAAGAAGAAGAAGAAGAAGAAGAAGAAGAAGAAGAAGAAGAAGAAGACTTAAGGATTAAGGAAAAGTGTAGAGAGAGGAAAGTAGAGGGGCAGTGGAGAGGAAAGTTACGGAGAGAGGCGTGAGAGGAATTTTGAGTCTTTTTTGCCTTTAACCTTTCTTTCCATTGACATATATAGCCTTTTTTTAATTCAATTTCCCCTAAATTTTTGTTTTTACACAAATATTTTCTCCACAATTTTAGAAGAGGGTTTTGTTCAAATGGTGTACAACTCAGATACCTATCTAACGAAAGAATTCTTCAAGAACTAACCAGTTAAAAAGGAGTCAAGCTTAAGCCTACATTTGGCTATGGAACTATATAATATATGGATTCCCATTATTCCCTTTTCTTCAAGAACAAGATGCTTCTTAACCTTCTAGTGAGAACATAATACCACTTAGTCTACTTGGAATCCACAATTTGTTGAATATAATTGTGAAAAAAGCAGTCCTTGCACATTATGCTGGGGAAAAGTGATAATGGTTTTCTTTTTCTTGTCTAGTTATTGTTATTCTCAATTCCAAATTACGCTCTGAAATGACAAACTGAGAGTGTGAATAACATGTCCCCTTCTCGTTTTTCAGTTAACTGAATTACCGAGGGACGGGGGAGTCAAGCTAATAGTAATATTAATACTAGTTGGTCTCTTTGCAGTTTACCTCATGCATTAGGAAATAACAGAAAAAAACTTCTGCGGTGCATCCAACTTTTTGTTGTGTGCATGCATGCAGCCGCTTCTTAATTTGTTTAGAGAAAAGGAAAACAAAGGTCAAAAGAATTGAGTCAGATAATCGTAATACTAGCGTGAAGATTGAAGATAAGGTTTTGCTCAGCTGGAAGTCGCTCTTTGTACATCAAAAACTTGTTTTTTTTTAAGAATTGGATAAAGGAATGAAGTGGAAAGGTAACCACTGCGAGTCACTGTAAGTATATTAGGGTTTGTTAATATGATAACCATTCGATATAAGAGAGCACAAGGGCATTTTGGGCATGAGGTAAAAATGGAGGGGGGAAATAGGTTGCGTGGATGTGGTGGGATTCTTCTTTTGGAGTGCCTACGCTAGCTTTTTTGTGGGGGTAATAATATATTCAGCAAAATATTTGTATTTATCTGCAACTTTTGGTGGGAATGCTTTTCTTGTATATTTTGCTTCTGTATTCTCCTTCCAACTGCTATACTCGGATGAAGATGTTCCTAGATGCTCTTAAGACGCACGCAGTCGGACTTCAGTTGGGTTATTCTCTAATTTAAAGGAAAACTAGCGTTTGCTAGGGTTTTTTGTGTCGATGTAGAGGTGGAAGAGTGATATTCTGATCCAAGAAAAAAAGAAACATTGATTCACTGAGAAAGTTTCTAGATGTTGTGCAATGCGTGGAGTTTGTTGGGAATATTTACTTAGAAAATTGGACTTCTGTGCATGATTTTGTTCCATAACAAAGGGACTTTTCAAATCAAACTACGTAACTGACTTACATTGACCAGCATTCACCATTCAGCTCAGTGTTCTAGACTTCTAGTCACCAAATCTAGAGAGAGAGAGAGAGAGAGAGAGAGAGAGAGAGAGAGAGAGAGAGAGAGAGAGAGAGAGAGAGAGAGAGAGAGTAGATATTGTCAATGATTTAGTTTTGCGTTGTTGTTGAAAGATTTAGGAAACAGAACAGATTATGAAAAATACAAAATAAAAACGAGAAGTTTTGAGGTGGGAAAATGCTTAAGATGATGTACATTTCGTCTAGATTTTAGAGACATGTTAGCAACCTGCTACTAATGATATGTTATTATTTTCCAATGTGTGTATTATCACCTGCACAACACAACAAGTGTAAAGAATTGTATCGTAAGAGATCTCAGGGTAATTAGATGTAAACTCACTCAATATAAGTCATATTTGATTCTGTCAGTTTTTCAAATTGTATTCTTCAACACATTTTGTTTTATCTAACAGTTAGAAGATTATGTAAATACTAAATCTATTTACTTTATTTTAATTCACCATGGATAATCTCATGAATATATCTCTAATGTGGATGCAAATATCGTACATGACTAGTTTGACAAAATTTCACATACAAGAGAACAAATAATGTTAGCCTAATTGACGAACACCCTGAAAAAGGGGCAGGGTGTTTCCCAAAGGGCCTCAAATGCCTAAGTCAAAAAAATAGTGAGAAGGCAAAGAATTTGAGAGAGTTCGAGTAATAAGTAACAAAGAATTTGAGAGAGTTCGAGTAATAAGTAACAATTATTGTTTCCTCTGTTTGATAGGATTGTTTATAGAGACTAGACCCTAGCAAGCAGCTAGGGGTGGAGGCTGCAGAACATACTAGGCAATCCTTAATGGTGCAGACCAGTCTCTATTGTCCTTCCATCTAGTATTCCTGAAGGGAGACTCTGAAAATTAGCTTCTTGCCACCATTGAGCCTGGTATGGCCTAGTGGCAGGCATGGACCAAAATATCGATATTATCGGTGATATTTCGCCAATAATATCGTTTTTGTGAGAGGGCGATATTTTCACGAGTATCCACTTAATTATCGTCAATATATCGTGATATTATCGGAGAAATTCGTCGTTGTCGTCTGGAACCCTACTCCCCCATTGACGACGACCTCTTCGATCGCCTCCTGGACTCCCTCCTCCTCCTCGTCTTCAACAAGATTGGTGACTTGAAGACCCTCGGCCGCCGCTGCGTCGTTCTCTGTGGCGGTGAACGACTCTCGACGATGTGGCAGTCATCGGATCCCATTCGTTCGACGGCGGGACCCACTTGAACCATTTTCGTTTGCCGTGAAACGACCTGTGGTGGTTGGAACACCTCTAGACACCCACGACCTTGCCGGAAATGGGTGTGCCTATTCCCGAGCCGATTTCGTCCCAAAAACCTTGGAAAAACACGAGATAGAACTTAAAAATGCACATCTAAGCTTCAATCTAGAACAGAAAGAGGTAAACTCGAAACTTACCTAATCGGAGAAGATTAAGAAGCTTGCTGAAGAGTTCTTGCGTTCGCCGAGTTGCAGAGACAAGAAGGAGAGGGAGAAATACGAGGTTTGATGACGATGATGATGATGGTAATGATGTTTACACGATGGTGCTGCCGTGTGTGTGTCTCGGCGACATAAAGGGAAGAGATAGAGGGTTTCGAGAGAGAGAGAGAGATAGAGTGCAGAGAAAGAAGAAGAAGAAAGAGAAAGGAAAGAGGGTCACGAGGTAGGGGACGGAAAAAGAGAAGAGTGAGGAATGATATGGTGCTACCACGTGGCTGTTTGGGAATGTTTAGGAATCTAGATAAAGGGTCCAGATTTAATCAAAATTAGGGGGGGGGGCAAAATGAAATCTCAATAAAACTTTAAGGGACTTAGGAAATTATACATATAATTGGAGGTTAGGGTGTTACACGCCGCACCCACTACCTGCAACCCAGAAAAAAATAAAAAAAATAAAACCCTAATAGTTGAGGTAGTTTTGTGTAATTTACCCTAATATTTATTATCTAGGATAAATTTTTATATTTAAAAAAACACCAAGGGATTCGAACCCCTCCCATTTTACTCCTTCAACACATTGACCACCATATCACTTATGTTTTTGTGAAAATATGCTAAAATATTTATATATATGGTTTTGTTTTGAATTCTTTTTGCAAGCAACAAATCTACACATAGAGATGATGAAGATAGTGAAAATTTTGAACCTCATAGGAACTCTATGTGGTACTAAGTCACACATGTATCTTACCATGCAATGTATAAAGTGTAAAATATTGTACTAATTCATTATATATAAATGATTATGGTGTGTTTAAACTTCTTTCATTAATTACTACATATTTTCTACACTCACAATGTTTGCCAGCTCGCTATATAATCAACTTAAATTAGTTAAATCCATCATGCAATGCATTTCCTTCCAATTTTTTTGTGATAAACTAATAGATGATTGACTAAATAAACATCCTACAAAGTTTCAATAAAAATTTCCAAGTTTTTCTTACAATTTTCGTGGTTCTTATTCAATTTTTATCGATATCGATAATATCCCGATATTGCCATTGAAATTTCTGTGTTTTTGGACTACTGATATTTCCGATATTATCGATATTTTATACCTTGGTGACAGGAAATATGTGAGCTGTCTAGAGAGTACATAATATATGTGATGCGCGGCCTGGACAGCCCATGATTTGTTGGTGGCTCAAAGGCCCATTAATGTAGGTCAGACTAACGTCTTTTTCCCTTAATGTAATTTGTGGTTCGCTCACGAAGTTAAGGGTAAAATCGTCATATTGAGCATATAATCCACGTGTCCCTATCCAATTGGATGCAGTTAATTTATATCTCCACATCTAGTACATGCCAATCAAGCATGGAAGTAGCGCTTATTGCAGTAATCATACATGGCAGCAGGAAGCTTTAGGAATGTAAAAGCGAAACTAAGAAGATAACCTCATAAAATGATTAAGAAGGATGGGGAAGGGTGATAAGGTATCCTTCTCCGTCTTCAATTCGCTTCTCCCTTTTCACATTTGTGGCCGAAAGTACATTGGAAGGAGCCGTAGACAATGCATCTGATTCCTCATGCTTTGGAATGTCCAAAATTCAAAATTTGTGTTTGTGCGTAATTTTTTAACCTAAAACAACATAGGACCATCTTAAGAAAAGTTAGCATGTACACAATGCTCTCTTATTTTCTACACACATTCGATATTTTCGGATATGGGAACGGCTCTCCGCTATTCAAAATTTCAAAGTAATGGGAAAGGTGAGAGTCGAACTTTCCCATGCCTTCGACGGAGGTTGACGGAGGCACTTCATTTGCTCATTAGAGTTATAAAACCTTGGTTGGGATACCGTCAACGGAGGTATTATAATCCATTAGGTACTAAGTTAGAGCTAAATGGATGACTGAAACTTTTTATTTTATTTTATTAAGTCTTGTCTTGTGCAAATGAGTAGATTGATTTTGGGAGGAATTGATTCGTCCATTGTTAGTTTAGCACTTTATTATTTACCAGTTGAACCAATTTTGTAACATTCCTTTATTTTTCTAGTCTCAAATGTCTTCAGATTAAACGCCAAAAAGATACAAGTTATATTACTTTATGTATTTTCAAGAAGGGTGGACATGTGAAACGAAGATCTACAAACGCTTCGGTTAGAAGATGCGAGTACGGACATAGCCCAATGCCAAATGGGTAGTGGAAGACCTAGGAAAACTTGGAAAAAGACTCCGAGAAAAGATTTGGACTACTTGGATTTAACAGAAGACATGACACATAATCGAGCACTTTGACGTTCTATAATTCATATAGCCGACCCTATTTAATGGGATACGTCTTCTTCCCATGCCCTCTTTCCCCTGCATCCCCTTCCTCTCCCTTTCTGAGAATTATTATTATTATTTTTCATATGAAAAAGGAGAAAGCGACATGATTCAGATTTCTTGCAGTCCTCTGAAAATTCGAATTCTCTTTCAAGATTTGTAATCAAATTGTGCCATAATGGCTCTGTAATCATAAGAGGGAGAGGATGATGTATATCAACTCAACGCAATCATCCTTTTGGCCATTTGAATTAGATCAAAGAGGCACAAAAAACATGGTGGTGGTCACTGTTTGAAGTGAAGTGGCCATTTGAATTAGATCAAAGAGGCACAACAAACATGGTGGTGGTCACTGTTTGAAGTGAAGTGCAAATGGTTGCAAAATACGGGATTGCCTCCTAATTAATTTACGGCTTTTGGTAATGTCTGCTAGGCCTCTTGTTCGGACCCGTTGGCAATGGCGGTTCGAAATCTGAGGAAAGACCTCTTTGCCAACTGGAAGGGATTTCACGCTTGAACTTTTTTTTTGTTCTTTAATTATTTAGTTTGCTGGATATATTTTGTTTAGGTATAACAAAGATAGTTTAAGCGTATAGACTAATCTACCCTTAGATCAATCAAATGATTAATTTGAAAGAGGAACTTTTTTTTTTTTTTTTGTGTCCATCGATGTTTTTACACTAGGAGATGAGGAGTTCGGTTAAGCCACACACTGGGCAACCTAATTTGATATCGATTTCGTTATCCATGAGATTTGAACTTAAAAGCTCTTACTTCTAAACGAAGAAGAATACTATCAGATCGTAGTACTGAGTGACTATTGTTTGTTAAAAGCCCTCAATTTTATGTATGAGGTGAGAGGTTTGTAAATGAACACCTACAACGAAGGGTGGGCATGGGCTGGGCTAAAGCTAAAATTAGAGAAACCGGACCAAAGACGTGGCCGAGTCTAGCTACTTTTAAAATGAAACCGGATATAATCCGATCCGTTTAAGGAACCAATGACAAGGGCAATGGCAAGAGAATTGTCATACCTTTGGGGAGGATAATGCAAGCGTAAGACAAAAAAAAAAAAAAAAAAAAAAAAAATATTAAAGAACGCGACTGACGTCATGCTGACTTCAACCTTGCCTGCTGGCTCAAGATTTGGGTGAACATTACTTGGCCCACCACTTGCCCACCGAAGGTGTTATTCTGGGTTGAAGGGCACGTTTCAAGCCCTTGCCCTTGCCATCCCTTCATGGTGGAACAGCTCTGAGCCACCATTCCCCCCCACCGACCATTAAGAACACACGCATATGCCTCCCCACGACTCTCTCAGCCAATTTCCCAAACACAAACCTGTAATTCGACGACGTAACTCAAATTGGAGCTTGAACCATTTGGGCATAAATTAGTTTCTGATCCACCTGAACCAAGTTCGATCATTGCAGGTCTTCATTTCTCCTTTTCAGCATTAGGGTTTAATCTTATTTGGATCAAAACCCTAAAAAATTTTCATCGAAATGATGAACCTTTCTTCAATACATCGGTTCTTCTCCTCCTCAGTCGGCCTGAAAAATCACAAATTATCAATCCTGAACTTCTCTACGGCGTCGGCGGCGGCCGAAACAGTGTACAATCACCTGCAGAAAAATGGTAGCAACGTAGAGGAAATCCTTGCCTCGGTTCAGGTGAAATTGGACTCCAAATATGTAAGTCAGGTTTTACAGAGATGCTATGGTAGCCGTTCCCAAATGGGTCTTAGGTTTTTCATATGGGCAGGTCTTCAATCCACTTATAGGCACAGCTATTTTATGTATAGCAAAGCTTGTGAATTGTGTGAGATTAGGATAAAACCGAGTGTGATTTTCGATGTTTTGGAGGCTTATAGAATTGAAGGGTGCTCTGTTAATCTGAAGACGTTTAAGGTTGTTTTTAATTTGTGTAAAGAAGCTAAGCTTGCTGATGAAGCATTAAGGGTATTAAGGAAAATGCCGGAATTTGGTTTGCGTCCGGATACTACGGTGTATAATGTCGTTATAAGATTGTTTTGTGATAATGGTGATATGGATATGGCTGAAAGTTTGGTGAAGGAGATGCGGTTGGTGGATCTTTATCCCGATTTGATCACGTACATGGTACTGATCAAGGGGTTTTGTAATGTGGGTCGGTTAGATAATGCTTGTGGCTTGTTTAAGGTTATGAAGGAACATGGTTGTTTGCCGAATGCTGTGGTGTACTCGGCACTTCTTGATGGATTTTGTAGGTGTGATAATATGGAGAGAGCTTTGGAGTTATTGAAGGAAATGGAGAAGGAAGGTGGGGATTGTAGTCCTAATGTAGTAACATATACATCTGTGATTCAAAAGCTTTGTGACAAGGGACGGTCCACGAATGCCTTGGTTATTTTGGACCGAATGGAAGCTTGTGGATGTGCCCCAAGTCGCGTTACAGTTAGTTCTCTGATTAAGGGTTTGTGCGTTGAGGATCGAGTTGAAGAGGCTTGTAAGTTGATTGATAGAGTTGTTGCTGGACGTAGTGTCACATATAGTGATTGCTATAGCTCTCTTGTTGTGTCGTTGGCAAGAGGTGGGAAAAGTGAGGAGGCAGAGAAGGTCTTTAGGATGATGGTTGATGGCAGGGTCAAACCAAATAGTTTGGCCTCTAGCATTATTTTGAAAAAACTTTGTTTGGAGGGTCAGGTGGTAGAAGCGTTGTGCTTGTTTGATGAACTTGAGAAAATGCAATGCTTGTCTTCCATCGACTCTGATGTGTATTCTATCCTCTTAGTGGGGCTTTGTCAACAAAAGCATTTAGTGGAGGCTGCAAAGCTGGCAAGAGCAATGCTCAATAAAGGAATTAAACTGAAAGCTCCTTATGTTGACACAATAGCTGAGATATTGAAGAAATCCGGAGATGAGGAGTTAATTAAGAATTTGACTAGAATTGCAAGGTGAAGTTGAGCAAAAGAAAACCTTCATCTGTCTTGGAGGTTCTCATGTGTTTATCTGGAATTGTGTTCTACTAAGATCAATATCTCCGACCAAGAAGAAAACAATTCTTGAGTTGAGTTGGTAGTATCTAACACAATAGTTGAGATACTGAAGAAAGTCCTGGTAAATTACTAATTACTTTGGCTTTATGTTATTCTGAATGTATCAAGCTGCTACCTGAAATATTTGCGAATGTTATATTGAATGGTGTTCATATTTTCTAGGATTGGTTACATAATTCTAGTTGGAGATATCAGTCTTTAGGGCACAGGAAAGCATGTCAATAAGCAAACTGCACTGCTCCTTTTCTTTTTTGGCTCTTTTAATAGCTTTCGATTTGCATGTCTGTATTAAGGGAGGCTTTCCTTATGCCATGCATGTAAGAACATAGGTTTTTGGCTAACATAGATAAGGGAAGTATAATTTTTGGAGGTCTTTGATTGTATGTCTGTTCTCGGTTACATGCATTCTTGAATATGTGGATTTCAGGTAGGAAAATTCTGTTCCTTTCAACAATTGAAAGCAAGGTCAAGAATTTTTTGTACCTCTTGGTGTTGAATGCCTTATTGGCGTTTCTAACGTTCACTTCATGTACACATTTATCTCTCTCCTTGTGGTTACAACTGGTTAAAAGGAAACAATTATATGGTATTGTTTAGACTCGAATGTTTCCTAAATCGGTGTTCCCTTATTTAAGGTTGAGCAAGTTAGAATTCAGCTACTCCTTCTCATCCCTCTCTTAAATAATCCTCAGGGGGCACACAAACATAGCATGTAACTATGTTATCTAGTCATCATTGACTGTTTTTATGGTTAGCATAAAGCGGCTCATGGTTCTTGCACTTGTTTCTTGGCAGATCAACCTTTATACTGAGGACAGGATAAGTTGGAAACCTTGAAAGAAACGAAAATGGTTGACAAGGGCGACAACAGAGGTAAGTCAAGTTCGTGATAGGACGACGAGGATCGAGTTCTACATCAATTTGATAGCAAAGCATCAACAGTTGTACTTGATGTTCATCCTATACAATATCAAGTGCCTGTAGTCAACCAGAAAGCTTTACTGATTAGCTTTCTGGGTTCACAGGGGAATTGTAATTACCTTAAGATTATTATTGGAACTTGTCTATGGCCATTGGGAATCCGGGATCATTGTTTCCGATAATTGGTATTTAATATTTTTTCTTTCAAATGATGTAGTCTGCGGCTAATCATACTTGAGTGTTTGCATTAGAGCTTTAAGTCAATAATTAAATTATTAATCACCTAAACATTTACAAATCTGGCAGTTGACATGACAGGTGAGTTGTTTGGAAATAGTGAGGAATCCTCGCCGGATCCTCTTTGTGAGATCCCGGAATCCTCAAATCACATCTGTTCATTGTACATCGTGTGGTAAGAAATTATTGTAAATTCTTTTATTTAAAATTAAATATAAAAAGTACCTGACGAAAACTGACTGCATGATGTATGAGAACATGTGATTGGAGGATCTTCGGGATCTTCACAAAGAGCATTCGGCGAGGATCCTCATTCGTTTGGAAATGCGTTTTTGGAAAACACTAAAGCTCATAAGCAATAATAAAATGGGAGCTTTACTTATAGAGACACAAATATTTATCATATTTCACACAACTTCATACCTTTTATAACATTACAAGGAGGGACAAAAAACCCAATAACAGAAAACCAAGCCCAACCTAAAAAGAAATGGACTGACTAAGTTACGGTCCATGCCACTCGACTATAATCGTTAATAAACGGCCACATTAACCACTACACGACAAAAATCATAAAAACTAACCAGTTCCTTTCCATTTTCCCTTATTCAATACCCGCATTCCTCTTCCTCAAACGTATCATTTCAAAATCCTATCACGCAAAAGATACTTCCCCAGAAAAAACCCCCTAAAATCTCTATAGTTTCCGACACTTTCAAGCCGGATTTTCAGTAAAGTGATTCACAAAGTTCAGCCGGATTTCCATAAAGATCAATGTTTCAAAGGTTTTCCTACTACTCAAAATCGTCCTTTTGTATGATGATATTTCGAACTCTATAAAAAACGAATGCATTATCAAAGTTTTGGATGCATTATCAAGTGTTTTTGCAAAAGAAAACTGTAAAAAAGGCATGCATTATCAAGTTTTTTTTTGCACTTGATTTTACAAAAAATTCAATATTCCAGTTTGTGAAAAAACAATTTCAGTGTTTTATATGTTTCAATTTCTCTTTTTTAGTTTATATGTATACTGATTCTTAAACATCTGAAAAAGAAAATGAATATGCGTCTAACTTTTGTGAGTAAAAACATTAACCGTCTAGCTTCAATGCTGTACTTTGTACTAATACTACACTTTGTAAATTAATTTTGGTTCTACTTTCTATTTGTAAATTGATTCTTAAACATTTGAAAAAGAACCGTTTAACTTCGATGCTGCACTTTGAACTGATGCTGCACTTTGTAAATTAATTCTGGTTCTACTTTCTATTTATAAATTGGTTCTGCACAATTATGCATTTACATTGTGCATTAACAACCAATTCTGCATCTATCTTGTTTGCTAAGTGATGCTGCATCTACTTGTGCACTAAGTGATGCTGCATTTACTTGTTTACTAAGTGATGCTGCATATAGCTTGTGTGCTAAGCAGCTGCCATTTGTATCTACTTTGTCATTTATATAACTTCTTATTATTTGATAATTTATTATACTCATGATCGTTTCAATTTTTTTTTTTTATGAAGATAACGACAAAAGTAAAACATTTTGTAATCAAACAGAAATCATCTCCAAAATCTTATGCTGTAAAACGTCAGGCATCTACATTGTGCGTTAACAACCAATTTTGCATCTACCTTATTTGCTAAGTGATGCTTCATCTACTTGTTTGCTAAGTGATGCTGCATATAGCTTGCGCGTTAAGTGATGCTGCATCTAGCTTGTGTGCTAAGCATTTGCCCTTTGCATCTACTTTGTCATTTATATGACTTCTTATTATTTGATAATTTATTATTCTCATGATCATTTCATTTTTTTTTTGAAGATGACGACAAAAGTAAAACATTTTGCAATTAAACAGAAATCAGCTCCAAAATCTTTTGCCTTAAAGCATCGAGCAACAGATGAGAATTATGCTCAAATAAGACTAAATCTCTAGGCCTTTGCAGAACTAATACAAGAGCTCAAGCCAAAACTTGTAGAAAAATCAGAAGTCTTGGCATTCATATATAAGTCACATTTTGGCAGACTAGTGAACGCGTACATAAAAGGTGAACTACAAATAAAGAAATCAGACTGATATGTCATACATATAGTGAATTGGTATAACACTGAAAAAGGAATGTTCAAAATCAGAAATGGATATTGTAACGTAAATACTGATGATGTTCAACGCATAGTTGGGATCCTAAATCGAGGCAGAGAAGCACGTCAACAAGAGACTTAAGAATCCCAAAGCCAAAAGAAAACAGATTTGTTGATAAATACTTATCGGAAAAGACAAGAATTGGTAGATGAGAAATTGCACAAGCAATTCAAGTTGCATTTGATATTGCGACAACAGAAGGGGATCAAGATGCAGCCTGCCTTATAATTCTATATTTGCTTAACACAAATCTGCTTGGGAGCTTAGCGAGGAAACTCCCTTGGAGTTTGGCCAAGAATTGCAACTCCACCAATAACATAAATCAGTACAATTGGGCCGAGGAAATAGCAATATATTTGATGGAATCAATCGATAGGATACATAAGAGAAAAAGAGACAAACAACCAACTGTTAGTGGCACTGTTGTACTTTTACTGGTAAGTAAACAAAAACTAATAAAATAAAAAATCAGTTTTTGTCTCATTTTACAAAAAATATACAAATCTCTAACTTTTATTTTGTCTATAGTATTGGATTTGTGATCACACTACAATCATCAACCCAATAGAAAGAAATGAGAAATGCTCTCCAATAGCAGTGAAGTGGGATTTGGCAAATCTAGATGAAAAAAATTTATAAGGAAGCAAATAAAAATTTGAAGGTAAAACTGATATTGCATATACTTTTATGTAAAACATGATTCTACATGTGCATGTGCCTGTTGTGTGTTGTTTTCAAACAAAGTATTAAAAAACATAACTCTTTAACCTTTCACAGATGGACAATGCAAAACAAATTTTGGAGTCAGTTGAACATTGCCCAGAAGATGATGATGACGACTTTGTTGAACCTCCACCTGCATCAAAAAAGAGGAAAATGGAAAAGCAAGTAGCTAAGAATGGACTAAAAGCCAAGAAAGCTAAAGCGTTAAAAAAATTAGTGCTTCAACTTGAAGATCTTGAAGAAGTTGAAACGGTAGTGGGACCTGAGCAAGTAGCCAATAAGGATGAAACCGTAGTAGCACCTAAACTTCTAAAAGGTGATGCTGATGACGAGATGATTGACATTCAACAGCAAGAAGAGGGTAATGATGAAAGAACTGTTTTAGATGTATCGGAAAAAGGCAATGATCAAACAGATGATGAAGAATTTGAAATGACACTATCTGCGTGGATGATGAAAACACAAATCCAATATAAGCTAAAAAATCAAGACGATGACCTAGCAGACAAAATGGTAAATCCAAAAACAAGCTAATTCTGCTCAAATTTTGTATTTAAATTTTATATAAAATCATGAGTTTGCCATAAAAAAAATTAAAATGTCATCAACTGAATGATTATGGTATAATTGATGATGCATACTAAGTATGATATAATTGATGTTGCATATTAAGTCTGTTATAACTGATGTTGCATATTAAGTCTAGTATAATTGATGCTGCATACTAATTTTTTATCACTGATGTTGGATACTAATTCTTGTATAATTAATAATGCATGCTAAAAACTTATACTAATTCTGGTATAACTGATCATGCATACAAAGTTGGGTATAACTGATACTGCATACTAAGTCTGGTATAATTGATGTTGCATACTAATTCTGGTATAACTTGTGAAGCCAAAAATAATCAAGAGGCGACACGTGGATTTTTGGGAAAAAATAACAAAATTACCCTTGAGGAACATCGAAGCTCCTACGAGTGAGCAGTGGGCAATCATCCCTCAATCAAGTTAAAAGTGCCTAAAATAGATATTTATTTATAACATATTTAATTCTTCCTCATCATGTCTTCTCCACAAAGTAAATCTCAAATCATTCCTTTTTATTATATTAATTACCTAATTAATTAATTAATTATTCCATTAATTAGCTAATTAACCACAAATAAAAAACCTAACCCACAAAAACATCCAAGTGGCCGGTCCTTCCTCTCCCAAGGGGGCTAGCCACACCCCTATATAAACCCTTACATTCTCTCCAAAGCTCAATTCCAATTCTCTTGCTAAATTCTTTAAATTCTCCAAATTCTCCAAATATTTTTTCCTCAAAATTCTAACTTTGGCATCGAAGGTTCTTCAAAGCCTTCTATTCATTATGGGCACGTAAGGCTCTTGGCCTTGACCTAAAGTGTTGTTTGTTTTGTAGGTGCAATTTTGTCCAAGAATAAGGAGGAAGAACTTTGCATCCACGAATTGGTGCTCTCGTTGAAAGTCTTGATCAAACGCTCATAGAAGATTCTCACATCTAAGGTTTTTGTATCCTTGCTTATTTGCAGATTTTTCGCATGTTCTTATTCTAGGAATTTTTATTTCTAAAAATTCTTCGATAAAACGTAAAAGAAAAGTACAATGGCAAGAGATTCGGAAACCTTGACGAATGAAAATTCCAACATTCAAAGATTAGGACCGCGACTATCTACAAAGCTCAACGTAGCAGTAAGCAAGGTTTTAAAAAACGCTAAGCGCTAGTCGGGCGGCGGGCGCCTAGGCAGCCTAGGCGGATTTGGGTAAATTTCTTATATATTTTATGATTTAATTAAATTTACTATATCAAATGTAAATAATTATTAACTAATATTCTATTTCTTATAGAAGAACATACATATGTAAATGTTTTATACATATATGATATGCTTGCTTAAGAAAAAAAAAACAAAATATTATCTAAATAATTTATATACACACACACACACACAATATATATATATATGTATGTATGTATTCCACTTTTTAAAACCGTCCACCTCACCTCTCTCTTTCCCATCACCCATCCAATCTTATATATATATGTATATGTGTGTTCCACTTTTTAAAACCGTCCACCTCACCTCTCTCTTTCCCATCACCCATCCACCTTGGGTG